AATGCTAGTTTATAAGGCAAAGCCTTGGCCGCCATGAATCGCTTCCCAGATGAATGACGACTGACAGTAATGGCACTGGCAAGGAGGAAGGCCAGCACCAGAGTCTGAGACCTCCTGAGCACCAGGGCTGGACAAGCCTGACTCCCAAAGGTCCTGGGAGCTGCCCACCCTTCACAAAGGGATCATCACCGTCTTTGCCCACTCACTTTTCTGAACTTGTCCATGTTTTTCACCATGTTCTCGCTTTCCCATGTCTTCTGCAGGAGAGCCATTTGACGGGGTTTCTGAGTTTTCTATGAAGAAAAGAGAGTCTGGCCCCACATGCCTCTTCCTGGGCAGCAGTGCATGGCAGAGGCTGGTGGGGGCGCAGGGGGCCTGAGGACAGAGGATGGGGAAAAAAGCAGGGCTGGGGGCAGGACCTGGATACCCACCACAGCAGCTGGCTACTCACCTCCACCAGAGTATTCAGAAGCATTTTTTTCTTCATCTGAATCTGATCAGACAAAGACCTCAGGACCATTTTGCACATCTCGTCTAAGTCATCCAACTCATCCTGGGGGCCAGCAGAAGGATGTTGGCCACCAGCCCTGTCTCCCCCCAGTCCAACAGGGCAAGGCCAGAGGCTCACCTACCTGCTGGCTGTCCTTCACCTGCTGCAGCTGGCGCACAAGGCTGGCAATCTGGACTGATTTCACAGGATACTCATGGTCCATGTAAGTGTTCAAGAAGCTCACTTCCTCATGGGTCTTCTTGATCTTGGCATTCAGCTGCTTTACCTGCTGCTCCAGGTCTACAGGGGTCAGGAAGAACAGAAGGCAGGATCCTCCCTCAAGAACCGCTTCCAGGAGAATCAGAAGACAAAGCTCTCCTTGGCCAATGGATTGGGGTCTGAGCTGAAGCAAGCTCACAGGCTGGGAGTCAGTCAAGCCCCTAAAGAGCCTTTACTCTTGCAGATGAGGCAACACTGGGTAAGTAAAAGAAACTAAACTGGAACAAGATCCTGAGACCAGCCCCAGCTCCACCGCTGACATACTGTGTGACCCTCTCTAAGACCGTCCCTCTCTGGACCTGTCTCCTCATATACACATGCCCAAGGCAACAAGCCCAGGGAGATGGGGGTGACACTGGCTCCCAGGATATTACCACAGCAGAATTAAGACAGTCTATCCTGCTGTCCTCCCTGGAGGGGATCCCCGGTATCTCCAGCTGCCTGACACACTGCCCCTCTGCTCAGAAAGCTGCTAGTCTGCTCAAGGGAAAGAAGCCACAGGCTCAGCAGGATGGACATCAGGAGACCAGAGACCTGGCCTGCCACCAATTCCCAGAGGGACTTTGATAGGAAACAGGCAGGCTGTGATCGGACTCTGGCTTCTAGCTGTGTAACTTTCAGCAGGCTACTTCACTTCCTTTAGCCTCAGTTTCCTCATCTGTAAAATGGGAGAACAGTCCCAGCCTCACAGACAGTTGAAATGACTAAGAGTGTGCCCATAAAAATGACACATAGGGCCTGGAAGCGCTAAATGCTCCACAAGCAAGCTGTTAGCTCTGGATCTTAGCAATTTCATCTGCCTAAAAAGGGAAATGATGGGCCTGATGGTTCCAGAACAATAGGTGCAAGATGAGTGCCCTGAAGCTGA